GACACAGTTGGGCTTGCTCGTGCCCAGAGAGAGAACGAGTTAAGCTGCTTACACTGAAGGCAAGGGAGAGTCAGCTGCGCAGCTCTGTGTGGGGGCAGCTGGCTCAAGCAGGGCAAACAGTGTTAAGAGTAAGCTCCTAAGAAGAGAGCTAGTGTAAGAAAGCTGTTAATGAGAGCTGCTGCTGAATAAAACTATCTTTCACCTGCCTACAGCCCCCTGGAGTGTTCTTTCTGTTTACCCACCCACTCCCCTCAGACTTCAGCATGAGCAGGACCTGGACTCTGGGATCTGACACACATCTCTACTGAAAATACAAAAATTAGCCGGTATAGTGGTACATGCCTGTAATTCCAGCTACCAGGGTGGCTGAGGCACAATGATTGCCTGAACCCAGGAGTCAGAGGTTGCAGTGAGCTAAGACCACGTCACTGTACTCCACCCTGGGCAAGAGAACCTGACCCTGTGTCAAAACAAAACAAAGTTAAAGACCACTTGTCCAGTATAAACTCTTTGAAAATATATACTCAAGCATAGAAGAGTCTAGAAATGTCATCAATGGTAATTTCAGGAAAGAATGTTAAGGTGATATTTTTTCTGCATTTTTTTTCTTTTCTTTTTTGTTTTTTTTTTGAGATAGGCTCTTGCTCTGTCACCCAGGCTGGAGTGCAGTGATGCAATCAGGCCTCACTGCAGCCTCGACCTCCCAGGCTTAAGCCATCCTCCCACTTCAGTCTCTTAAGTAGCTGGGACTACAGGCACAAGCCACCACACCTGGCTAATTTTTGCATTCTTGTATTTTTTGCAAAGATGGGGTTTTGCCATGTTGCCCAAGCTAGTCTCAAGTGATCCGCCCACCTTGTCCTCCCAGAGTGCTGGGATTACAAGTATGAGCCATGTGTGCCAGGCCTACATTTTCTTTTCTATAATAACCATGACCCTGGGTTTCATGTACCAACATTTTCTAACAATAATATTTACAAAGCATACTATGAAAAATGTTCAGAGAAAAGAATACACAACTGTAAAAATCATATATAACTAGTTTTCTTTTTGTTTGTTTGTTTGTTTTTAAAGCCAAAAAAGAAACAAAGTAGATTGTCCAGGGAGATAGTTATTTCCACTTCGTATTTCTCTGGTGAACTCATTAGGAACTCTAAAAAGTTCCAGGAGGGCCAGGCACGGTGGCTCACACCTATAATCCCAGCACTTTGGGAGGCTGAGGGGGCAGATCACGAGGTCAGAAGATCGAGACCATCCTGGCTAACACGGTGAAACTCCGTCTCTACTAAAGATACAAAAAATTAGCCAGGCATGGTGGCAGGTGCCTGTAATCTCAGCTACTCGGGAGGCTGAGGCAGGAGAATCGCTTGAACCTGGGAGATGAAGGTTGCAGTGAGCCAAGATCGTGCCACTGCATTCCAGCCTGGGCGACAGAGTGAGAATCCACCTCAAAAAAAAAAAAAAGTTTCAGGAGTAGAATCATTGGGTCAAATTACCCTGGTTTTAAGTTCTGGTTCAGAGAATTTTAACAACTTACATTGTCACCAGCAAGGTCTTTGACTATATAAGCAACTCTCACCTTAAAGTATTTCTCATCTGACATTAGCTGCCCGGCTTTCCGCGGATACGTTGACTCCAGGAGGCTCCTTGAGTTCTGTGTGTTCGGCTGGCCTCCGGTGGCCCCATTACTATTTTCTGCCAGGTAAATGTCAGTTACCTGCACACAGATCTCATCACTCATGATATGCTGCAGCTTGAATCAAAGGCAAGCTGTTAGTGAAGACAGAAAACATTTCTCCACTACACAGTCAATGTTCCTTTAAGTGATCCAGTCACTCCACTCAAAAAAGGTTTTGAGTTTTTTTTGGCTGGCAATTTTAGAAAATTAATCACACAAACCACTGTATCATTTTCTCGGAGAATAATCAAGCCAAGATTTTCAACCATATCAGTGGTCCATTGTAAAACTTTCATATCTATTTAAAATAAAAATCATAGAGAACTCAGGTTAATGTGCTGTTTAAAATTCTAAGGCTCTTTAAATAATTTTCCATGGGTAATATTTTTATTGCATTTTATTTTATTTTATTTTATTTTATTTTATTTTATTTTTTT